AGTACCCCCTATGGGGAATTGGTTCCCTAAGTGTAAAATTCAAATATTTTGACCGTTATACAAGGGGAATCGGTACCCCCTGGGGGGGAATCGGTTCCCTCCGAGCATACTGGAATTCTCGGAGCCAAACCATTCAGGGGGGAATCGGTTCCCTCTGAGCAATCTGGAATTTTTGGCTTTGAAATGGTTCGAAATACTTTGTAAAATTATTTTGAAATTATTTTAAGTTTAGAACTTAATTTTACACTTTGAGTAAGGATTAAAAATGATCTTTGAAAGATTTGGAGTAATGTTTTGATATTCGAATAATTCTATCGAATATACTTAGAAAAATCATTTGGAAAATCTTAAAATTCATTTAACTTAATTTTTTATATCGAAATATCAAAATGTTTTCAACAAATTCCTTTGGTTCGAATTCAACCATTTCATTTACCTTTGTCTTATAACTGATTACTGATATACATATTCTTAAACCCTTCCTTAGTCTTTTAATATTCTCCAATTAACATCAATCTCTTCCACTTTATTTTTTTCATGCTGTAAAGAAACTATTCTATTTCAGAACGATAAAGTTCCTTTAATATTATAATTTCCAATCTATCTAAACTGATTGGTTTTATTCTCTGATGGAGAATACAACTAATTCATATATGGTTTAAAGTTGAAAACCAGAATCTCTACCTTTCTATGATGGTGCTTAACTTTATGAAGCACTAATTCTCTTAATCATCTATGATTTTTGTTCTCCAATCCTTTCATTCTTAGCTCTTTCTAGAGCTTTAATACGATTAACCATTTCTTGAAACAAGAACAAATTCAAAACCAGTAACACTCTTTTAATTTAAGGCACAAGCCTTAAACAACCAATCACATGTATCCTTCTTAATCAGAATCAACTCAACAATACATCTGCTTAACTTATTAAACTTATACTCATACACATGCATGTATAATTCCCTTTCTTCAAGTTCATATATTTGAGCTTCATTTGTCTTATGAACTGAACATCGATTCACTTATTCTTGAACTGTTCTATAAACCATAACCACGTCACTTGATCTTTTAACGTTCTTATGGTGACATTTGTCCACATACTTCTAGTTTGCCCACGTAGTAACGAAACTACTCAATTTAACTTCTCCACTTTGGAGAAATGAAAACCTTCTAACATTATTTTCATATCATTTATCCAAATGTCTGTAACAATATGACCTTCCTCAAATTTACCCTGTAACTCGGGTGCTCTTAGCTCTTTTAACTATTTCGATACATTCATTCTATGAATTAAAGAAGCATAAAATTGAAAACATACTAAAATATCATTCTGCATCATATAATATTCTCTAATCTTGTACAGGCACTCGCTGAGGTTTTCGCTCTTCTCCCTGCCTGGCCAGGGTAGGTGAATGCTATTACGTTCAAGTCTATCACCTTGTACTTCACTTTGGAAGTTCTCGTAATCATACATAGAATATAACATAACAAATTAACTCTATTAACAAGACAGTATACTCCTTACACTATCAGATCAGAAAAAGTTTCACTTTCTGTTGGCATGTATACTTTTTAAAACACTTTTGACTTCGTTTTTAGCCTTAAATCGGCTAAACCGTAGCTCTGATACCATTAAATGTAACACTCTAACCCATATCCGACCCGAATACGAGTCCGAGATGTCACATTGACTTTTAAAACCTTTATTCTTGTAAAATAACAGAACATTTGAACTTTTTTTAAGAAAATATGATAATATATTGTTGAATCATATTTGTTATAACCAATTTAAGAAAATATATGTTTTATGAACAATAAAATACGGCATGAATAGTGAATAGTACCGTATGAACAGTACCCAAATGTTAAAATTTTTCAGAATGTCAGAGGGGAACCGATTCCCCTGCTACAAGGAACCGATACCCTGCTACAGTATTGCTATAATACTGCTATAGTACTTCCGTAAAATACGTATAAATTCATAAAAATCCAAGGTTTCATCATTATACATTTACCATTTACATATATACATTTAAAACATTTCCAAAACTCGATCAGAGCGTATATAATATAAATCCTTTTTATTACATGCCAACTAAATTCTTTCTAACAAAATACATGTAATTTGATCTACATTTCTGATCTTATCTTCGGTAAGAAGAACTGACATGTCTTGTTTAACTTTTATCATTATTCCTCTTCTCGAAACCTACGCGTGAAATAATCACACGCTAAGTCATTGACTTTGTGAGGTATATAAAACATATAATAAAACCATAAACATTTCATATAACAAAATGTACACATGCATCTATACCATCATTATCCACAACAACCTCATTATCATGATCTTGTACTTATCTTTTCTGTATACCATATAACATCATATAATTCATGTGAAACATTTCATATCACCAAAAGCATATACATAACATATATTGTAGTGATCATTATCTCTTTATTAGCTCATGTACACAAAGAATTTAGTGTGAACAATAATAACACGATATCATATAATAATGCAAATACTTTTGATATCTTTTATAGGCTCATGTACATTATTGAGAACTTAAGGTATTTGAGTACATTAAGGTTGTACACTATTGATGTCACCACAGCTCGTATAAGTCCCACTGAGTGGCATATGAAATTTGTCCCGAATGACCTATCCAGAGGTCATAAAAAACCTCGGTAACTGTCCATAGGTCCCGAAGAACCTAGGTAAATTGTCCATATGTTCCTTAGAACATAGGTAACCCTCGACTCTTGGCATGCCAACTATACCACTACCTCTCATATCACATAACATGGGCATTATCATTTATACATTTCATATCACTTGTTCTTTCACATAGCTCTTTATAACATTTCATATGATCACATATTTCTTTCTCTTCTGTCACATACCATATGTATGTGTAAACATATATCTCATATCACATGTGCATATCATCATGTAGTTTCTTTTCGTATAATTCATATCACTTATCATATGATTTCATATTCATATGTCACATAGCTCGCATCACTTTGCATGAGTTCACATAATTTTCTATTACCTTATAAGTAAATACTACTTATTTTATCTCACCTTTTCATTTATTTACATAAGTCATTTAGTACTTACAAGAACATATCCACTTATATAATCAAGCATACACACATTTCATATCATTTATTTCGTTTTCTATATCCTTATCACATTACTTATTTTATTTCTCATGTTCTTATGCAAGCACATATATATATCACACAACACATATAACAACATGTTAAACATATCACATATACATAAAATCATGTAACTCATGTCACATACAATAACGTTTTAAGAGTTACTTCTTACCATAATAACTCCGTCACTGGCTCATCGCAAGCCAATGTTCATTCTATAAGCACAAATTAAATTGCACTCACATTAGCCTTGCTTTGATTCAATCCTAATCTTTTGATTATTCTGGAACTTGTTTAGGCTCAATATCTACATAAATATAATCTTTCAAAACAATTATTAGAAGCCTAAACCTTAAACTTGAGGTTAATTACTTAAGCCCAAAATTCCATATTTTTTTTCTTTATGGGGAATCGATACCCCCCATGGGGGAATCTGTACCCACTGCGTAATCTGGAATTTTCGTTCAAGCCCAGAAAATCATTGTTCATGCATGAAAATTCACTATATCAACTTAAATTCTTCATGTTTCATTCCCTTGTCTATTCTTAACTCAAATATACATACTTAAACTAATTTATATCCATTTATTTCATCTTAAACCTCAAAATCCCATCTTTCATATAGAATCAATAATCATACCCAAATTTTCAATATGTTCTCATTTCAATTCTATCACTTTATATCTCTTACTTAAGCTGATTACAAGTCAAATTTAACTTCAAATTCAATTTATCAACTCTTTTACAAAAATTCTCTTAAAAACTCATTTTCTTTAATCTTTCATAACTTCTTCATCTTTTGGTTATAAGATAAATTAAGCTTTCCTTAAGCTTAATTATCATCTAAGGATCAAAACCCAATCTTTAATTGAACAAATAATCAACTAATGAGGAAACTTACCTTTGTAGCCAAAACCACCATGAAGAAGAGGAAAACAAGGAGAATAAGAGAAAGAGAACTCTGTAACAAATTTTTGCCTTCATTTCCTCTTCCACGTGGGTTAATATAAACCCATCCAAATTTTTAATTATTTCTCCTTTGCAAATGACCATTTTGCCCTTTAATTCTTTGGATGATTACTAACAACTTTCAGGAAATGTCCCCAAATAGATCATTTAACTATTCAACTATTCTACTTTTATCCCCAAATTCCGAAATTTTACAATTTAATCATTAACCCGTAATTTGGGATGTTACAAAAATGCTACCAATTACTTTTATATAATAGTCCAATTTGTATTTTAGATGTAGCCTGTTTGCATAACCATTAATTTATTCTCTCAAAAAATACATCATAATCAATGACATGCTCACACATTTATGCATTCATTCAGCTTTAAAACCCAAATTTCTATAAGGAAAATTAAGTTGGTTAAAAGTAACAAATAGAAAAATTAACTTGATATTTTTTTAATTAAGTAAATATGTATTATATTTTTAAGATAAATATCGAAATACGAATGTATGCAAGGTAAAATAATATGAGTATCCTTGATCAATCGACCAAATAATAGATCTGATTAACTATTTATGAAAGAAAACAAATTAAATACCTATTTATTTATTTATTTATTCATTCTTTAGATATATCCTAAGAAAAATAAAAGGGATGACACTTATCAACATCCGAACATAAACAAGAAAATTAATTTAGGCATTGTAGTGGAAAGTAGAAAGACGAAGCAAGATGGAGATGGGGTTTCATTTTGATGCCAGTTCTTTTGTCGTATAAAGGGTACGAAATAGGGAATCTCATCTGAGAGTATAAAAATGCAGAACGAAAGGTTGCCAGCCACAGGGTTTTTAAAAAATGGAAGAAAATGAAATGTGTAGGCCAATAAGGCGACCAAATGTAATTAAAAATTCATTATTAAATCATCCACCTCCCTCTTCCTCCGGTGTTTATAACCTCCTTTTTGCTTTATGCTGTTTAGCCCAAACCCCTCCTCCTCTCGCTCTACAAACCTAACCAAAACCACTTCAATTACCCACTAAAAATGACAGGTTCTGGAGCCCCTTGCGGAGCTTGCAAGTTCTTGAGAAGAAAATGTGCTAAAGGATGTGTTTTCGCACCTTATTTCTGCCATGAACAAGGTGCTACTCATTTTGCTGCCATCCACAAGGTTTTTGGTGCAAGCAATGTCTCCAAGCTGCTTGCTCACCTTCCGGTCAGTGATCGCTGTGAAGCAGCTGTCTCGATTTCGTATGAAGCTCAAGCTAGGCTTCAGGACCCCATTTATGGCTGTGTTTCTCATATCTTTGCTCTCCAACAGCAGGTTCTTTTGAACACCACACTTTCACCTTGTTTGATGCGAAATGTGATGGTTTGAAACCCTAGTTTGAGTTTTAGAATAGGTATCTAAATCCATTGCTTTGTCGTGTTCCGAATTTCTACAGGTTGTCAATCTTCAGGCACAGCTTGCTTCTCTTAGGGAACAAGCAGCTCAGGGAATTGTTAATGGAGGCTCTGTTACCGCAAACCCTAATGACAAATACCTTGGAAAGGTTCCTTCTCAGCTCCAAGATGTTCAACTTCAAACCTGGTTTTACTCAGAAAATTCAAGCATGGCACCTAATTTTAACCCAACGAACTCAAACTGTGAGACTAATAGTTTTTTTTATCCAAACTCTTTAGCAAATTACGAGAATTCGGTCTCTTCATCAGGAGAAGATCATGTCTCGTACACTACTTTCGGGCAGGCTTCTCATTCCATGTCTTCTTCCTTTGACGTGCTAACAAACAACAGGCAATGGGGTTTCCAGGAAGACGATGACCTTCAACCAATGGCCTTTGGATATACTAACGATATTCATGCTGAGTGTGATCAAGAGATTTTAATATAAGATCGGTGAATACTGAAGACACCATTGGCCTTCCAGTTTTGAATTGAAATGCTGCATATTCTGAAACATATATATATATATATATAGATGCACTTTTGTTGCTATAAATAAAAAGCTAGGAACCCTAAAGGATTAGTGTTCGTTTTCGTACAATCGTAAAACCCTACAATTGTTTTACTCTCTGTGTGACAGAACTGGAGATAGAAATTGATCTGGTTTTGTTTCAGCTAATCATTTGCTTTGTCTATGGATGACCTTGGCCTTTTAAGGACTACATCTAGTTTTTGACTTGGTAATTAAACTATAGTTACCTACATTTCACTTTCCCTTTATGTTATTAGCTGGTTCTATAATTTTAACAGATGTTCCACGTAAGGGATTCGATTAAGGATTAAATTATTTGATCTAATTTATAAATCCCACTCGGTTAAAAGTTCATGATTTAGCTGTATAGGCTAATTATTTACTCTGCAGTCTGAATGCAGTACTATTTTCTTATTGGAATATACATGAATATGATCCAAGTGAAACCCAGATTATAATTGTTTCATCCCAGATTGTTTAGTTTTTAATTCTCTATGATTTTCCTCTTGTTCCCGATGTTTTGGTGATTCTTAGGAAACACGGTTCACAATCTGAACACGCATATTGCCCCCCGTAGAATAGAAATGAATGCTGAAATTGAATTACCTTAACAATTGATTAGTCAATGCAGCTTGCTTGTGAAGCATTACCAATAATAATCTAACTTCATTGCACGTGATGTTTGATTACTATGTCTTAATGATTTTTTTCCTTGAAGGTCCAATATTAATATTGTTCGTGCATGTGCATCCATACAATTTTTATTCTTTCTTCTTCTTCTTCCACTGCATGCACATATATTTGTGTTATACAACAGCATATGAGAAAAAGAAAGTAAAATAATTTAGGGAATGAATCTCCCTCCCAAAGTGTTTATTCCCTTTCTTAATTGAAGGGGCCCAACTGAAATGATAATCGATAAATATAAACATGGCCCAGTTAATGTGGTCTCTATAAACCCATTGCAATCAACCAACACCGAAATGCTTACATCATCTGTTTAGTATATTGTTTTCCCTTTATATCTAACTAATTTCAAGCTATATTAATGGAACACGTGTATCGATATAGGGTTTCAGATCCATCTGTGCCCAACTCGTCGATAATGTGAGATGATGATTCTGCTCTAAAAGCATTGATGTTGGTCGTGTGACCAACATATTTAAGCCTTATTTAGCCTTAAAGCAGGGAGACAATTTCATGTGAAGCTCTTCATGTAGATCGCCATAAAGAAAAACATTGTGTATGTCTTCCTAGTTCATGACAACAATTACCATTTTGGCCACCGAAGCAAATTTTCCAGTGTACTCACCTTTGACCTACTGATTTCTATGAATGACAAATCAAGTCTTCAACCAGCCATCTGAATGCTTTATCTTGTATACCCATTTGCATCCAAGTGAATTACATGTCTTCCGGCAGTTATACTATTTCCTACGAGTCATTGGCCTCTTTTCTTTTTTTCATAGATATATCCAACCAAGACATATTTTTAACCTCAACTTGTAATTTTTTTAATAGTGTGAGCTGATTACAATGTAATTTTTGTTCAGAAATTTCATAATTAATTGATAACGTACATACATCCTGCAAACGTAACTATTCGAACCCAAAATCTTTTGAGAAAATAACATCCTCTTTAACTAATGATGTCACTTGATGGATTCACCCCAACTCGCAAACTTCTCTTAACTTCACATGAATATAACAAAGTCATCTCAAAATATGGAAGTAATTGAAAGAAAGTTATTTATTAGGTTTTTATTAAAAGATAGTATTTGTTCATAAATTTCTTAACCTATTGACACGCACATACATTTTGTAGACACAGTTACTCAAATTTAAGACTTTTAGGGAGAACAATAATCCCTCTCGTCACTAAAATCAAAATCTCTTAATAGATTTTTAATTAATGTATTTTAAAATGATCAAATAATTAAATTTGAATTTTATTATAAATTAGAGATACTTAAGCAACCATCGTGATTTGTAATCTCACTATAGTAACATTACACTCTCCAATTCGCAAGTAACAAGTAACTAAAATTGAAAGAATTATACGAACAATTATTCGTAATAACTTTCAAAATGTTAATTTATTTTTGCATGAATCAAGTTACTATAATGATTAGAGGGATGATAATCATTATTTCTAGAGGCTTACTTCAAGCACTAGATATTGTAAGGTGGCGTTTGGTTCGCTGGAATGTTTCTGAGGGAATTGGAATCTGTCAGGAATTGGAATCCAAATTCATATTCTGTTTGGTTGGCAGGAAATGGAATTAGAATCCAATTCCATATTTTGTTTGGTTCACAGACATGTCATATGAATTTGATTTTAGTAATATAAAATAATATAATTGTCCTTCTTGTTTTTTTGCTTTATTTTAGTTTGTTTTACAACCTACATGTAGTAATATATTATAAAAAATTAAAAAATATTAAATTTTCATTTTATTGATTGATTATTCATTTCAATAAATTATAAAAATCATGCTAATAAACATCATAAGTTAAAACCATCGCGATCAAAATATGTTAATAAGTTACAAAAAGATAGAACAATATTTCGATACATTCCAATCGGAGTATGTTAATTAGTTACTAAAAAATATACCAAAAACTATTTTTATTCAATATATGAATTAGAAACCCGACACGACACGAAATAATAAAAAAATTATTTTTATTCAATAAAAACATTGACTTAATTGAAAAAATATATATAGAGAGGGGTATTATTGTAATTATTTCTAAATATATAAGGTAAAATTATATATTTTTTTCGGGTTGGGTCTGGTTTTTTTCACCCTAAACCCGAACTCGACCCGACCCGAATATCACACTTAAAAAAACCCGACCCAACCCGAATATATGAATTAGAAATCCAACCCGACCCGAAATAATAAAAAATTATTTTTATTCAATAAAAACAGTGACTTAATTGAAAAAAATTATATATAGAGGGGTATTATCTTAATTATTCCTAAATATATAAGGTGAAATTATATATATTTTCGGGTCGAGTATTTTTCACCCTAAACCCAAACTCGACCCGACCCGAATATCACACTTAAAAAAATGACCCGACCCAACCAAAATAAAGTTTCATCCGACCCGAAATAATAAAAAAATATTTTTATTCAATATATGAATAAGTTACCAAAAGATTGATGAGGGTAGTATGGTCAAATTTTAATTCCCTCCAACAAGGGAATTGAATTCCATCCATTTTTGGATGAAATTCACTTTCCCTCATTTGATGGAAAGTTGAAGCCATGAGGGATTCCAATTCTCTTGGAAAACTTGAACCAAACATGGGAAAGTGGTGGAATTGGATTCAAATTCCCACCAATTCCAAGGGATTCATGCCAACCAAACACCACCTAAGAGTGTTTGACGTGGGAATTTCTAGAATAAATATTACTTGAAATCATTCTATATTAATAAAAAAATAATTTATTTTAAATAATAAATTTATTAATTTGTGTATAATTATATTTTATCAAACAAATTTATCTATATTACAAAACGAATATAAGCTCTAATAAAATTAGTTTACCATAGCCAAACACACATGCATGTACATAAATAATCTTAATATTTAAAAAATGAAAGCACAAAACCGTCCATCTGATGTGATATATTACTAGATCCCACTATCAACGGTTGGGATTACGCAAACGTGGGTTACGAAATCAATAGTCAAAAGTTGCGTTAAGAAAGTTCAAAGATGGAATCCAACAAATTCCATTCTACATCTTTATATTGTCTCCCCCTAATAATTTTTAAATAATAATAATAATAGTATCAATTAAATTGATATTTATTTAATAAAAAACAACGCATTTATTAAATTATATATATATATATAGGCAAACCAAATTAGCTGAGAATGACAGTGTCTTCACTTAAACATGAAGCTAAATATATATATTTTTTATAAACGTCGATTTTCGATTTATTAATCGATTAATTTGGGTCGGGTATTGCAGAGTCAAGGGAGACCCTCCCAACTCAGTTTGTTTCATTCGCAAACGTCATATGATTCGATAACTCATCCCACTAGACCAACTGATTGTTAGTAACATGAAACTAAATATGATGATACTATATATTTATATTTTTTTTTTCTATCCAATAATTTTATTCGGGATTCTTATTGATAAATTAGGTCACTAATTCTAGTTTGATTATATTTCTATATGCATACTTTAGAAGACAAATAACACTTTGGAAAGGAGGAGTATAATGATATAATTTAAAAAAAAAGATATGTATGCTTAATTAAAATAGTTAAGAGAGGGTTCTTAGCTCATAATGTAGGGTTTTGCATTCAATCAAGGGGACATTTTGTCTATAAATATGAATACAAGGCAATGGCTTTTTGGTATTAAAAAGTAGAAAGAAATACTTAAGTTAGGTAAACCTAGGGACGGGCATGGGTAGGATTTTTGGTCCCCGACCCGACTCGAGAACAATAACTCTTCCACCCGAGATCCGACCTGCATGAAACAAGATTTCATCCGACCCGAACTTGACCTGATATATAACTTAAAAACCCGACGCGAAATAATAATAAAAATATTATTTTTATTCAATAAAAACAGTGACTTAATTGGAAAAAAAATATAGAGAGGGGTATTATTGTAATTATTCCTAAATATATGAGGTAATTTTTTTCAGGCCGAGTAGTTTTCACTATAAACTCGAACCCGACCCGAACATCACATTTAAAAAACCCGACCCGACCCGAATCCAATTTTTTTAAAAACCAGACTCGATTGGGTCGGGTCAGGTAGAAACCCATCGGGTTTGGATCTCATGCCCATCCCTAGGTCAACCTACTAATTTAAACAAAAACCCTAGGTGGATTGGGTCCCTAGGAAATTTCCATACCCCTAATCATTTTTTTTTAGTTTTTTACTTAAGATTATTAGATCTGGATGAATATGAATGGATGAGTGAGATTAAAATTTTTTCATATTATTGATTTTTTTATTTTAAAATTTTTAATTTCAAACGTTCATACAATAATATGAATCACATATACCAAAACAAAGATTTATCATTATTAATTCCTATAAGAACGGACAATAATGAACCACCCCCAGTCTTTTATTAAACCAACACTATAACCCGAAGCAGATATACCCCTCCAATTTGTAATTAAAAAATTGTCTGATTGAACAAAGAGGCAAACGCCAATATTGTTTGGCTGACCAGAAAGTTTAGTATGTTTTCTCGGAAACAGTCTCCGTATTAGCATATACAATCATCAGCATCAGAACAAAAGCAGAACCGTAATCTATAAAGAAGAAAAAAAGACGAGGATGATTTAGTTCCAGTTCCTCATCATTCTAAGGGCAAGTGCTTGTAGCTCACCCAGATCATTATTGGAGTATCTCTTCCTAGGGTAACCATGGAGATAAAATTCCTCTCTCTCTCTCTCTGCTTTGTATTTCCTGCATGTTCATGTTGTCGCCACTGTCGAGTGAGCTTTGTGGAGAAATGGGGTTCACGTAGGTTGGAACAGTACCACAAACGTTGCCTTGCCACTGTTTCACTATGTTATGTGAATTCATTTGAGCCAGCTGAGCTTTCACTTGCATTAATTGAGCTTGGAGGTATGCAACCTATAAACAAGATTTAGAAATGGGTTAAAGCTAATCATAAACAAGATAATACAAAAGCAAATGTGATTACCTGTTGTCGCAAGGCGAAAATATGAGCAACGGAACCATAAACAGGATCTCGAATCCTTGCTTGAGCCTCGTAAGCAATGGTGACGACCGCCTCGCAACGATCATGTGCCGGGATATGTAACAACAATTTGGAGGTATTGCTAGCACCAAACACTTTATGGGTGGCGGCGAACCTTGTTCTGAGCTGAAATAAGGAGCGAATACACAGTCGGAGGCACATTTTCGTCTCAGAAACTTGCATGCACCACAAGGGGAGCCAGTGCCAGATGATGCCATGTTAGAGACTAAAAGAAAAAGAAAACAAGAGGTTGGAACAAGGGAACTAATCTTAAAAATGCTGGAATCACACGAGTACACTAGGAAATGGTGCTATAGAAAACTGGGTTAGTGGAGGAGATGGTTGTCTGGCTAGGTGAAAGTGGGGCTGTTAAGGGGCACAAACAGTAATGAATGGGGGACATATAGAAGCCCTTTATGTAGGGTTCTAAAGGAACATTTAATAATGGTCCATGGCGATGGCTCATATAATGTTGGTATATATGATTTGAAGTTGGGAGTACAATACATCATCTGAATATTTGTTTAATACATTTGAAGGTTGATTCTTGAGTTTATGGTAGAAAGTTGCAACTTTTTCTTTTTGATTGCTGTTTTGTCGCTTTGTGAGAACCTGCTCTTAATGCTATCTGCCGTTAAAACCTACCGACAATCACTTCAGTGAATTACGACATTTTTATATTTCAGTTGGAGAAAATTTGTACGAGGACAAATCATGTTTGGCAAATTTACCGTCAGCTTTTCTGTTTGGTAATTATGGCACTTATCCAAGCTTATCTGTCTACCAGAGCCATCAAACTCTCATTTACTTTTATCAATCCAACCAATAATTTTCTTATTACACGCTTATCATATCCAATGATAATAACAATTGCAATATAGGGCAAAAGGAAACCTTAAATGCTGAGGATTGTCACAGTTGCGCATTCATTATGTATATATTTGCATCGGCCACATGAAAACTTGGAAATGTATTAATCAACCCACAAGACTAAATCCTAGACAGCTGAAACCACACCACACCAGCAACAAGGCCTATATTTAATATGCAAAGAAATTCAAAATCATTTCTGGCCACTCAATCTTACCACCAATTTTGCTTCAAGTCAAGTTACAGCGTCATCCATGCACAATGTAATGATGCAAACTAACGATCTCTATATCATTAATAGGTGGATGCTGAAATCGATAGGGAATTCTAGATGAAAACTAACAATTTTTATATCAATTAATAGGTGGACGCTGAGACCGATAAGTAAATGCTACCCTTAGGAAATCACTAGCCTAACTTTCAGTGCTTGGTATTTCCAATTGGTGGGGATACCGGATTCAACCGACTTAACCTGCTGAATATAGGGATCAAGAGATATTAAAAGTGAAGCCTAAGCTATCAGATCTTGTCATATGACTATAATTTTAATTCCATCATAAATATGGAGGCTGGATTTTCTTATATTTGAGAATGAAGACTCCATTACCATTTAATCCCACCATGTAGAGAGGATGAAATCTTAGAAGAAATGGATTAAAGTATCAACTATGTTTCCATTACTTACAAAAGGCTTTAACACGCATCACAAGCTCAAGTAAAAGATCTCCAAGCTATCCCCAAAACTAGATCTTATCAACACTTGACCTTGCTTTAGAAAATCCAAAAGGAGACAAACTTCAGTTTTTGTTTCAATATTTTACACACCTGTCCTTCACCAAAGTAAAAATATAAACATCCGTTACCTTCCTTCACCTCTTGTGATGAAACCTCACTTTCAACAAGAACTGCATCTTAACCTGTCCAAATTAACAATATTGCAGATGATAAGTGCAAATCACACATCGAGTTCAATAACAATAGCAATGAAATTATCAGGAGCAAGTGCAACAGCAGTGATAGGCTATATTACAAGGACTTTTCTTCCTAAACTACTTGTGTCTGGCACATATACTATACATGATTATAAGGGAATTTTGGAATCGAATTCATTGCTCATCTAATCCAAACAACATAAGATACAAGCTCAACATAAAAAACATAGAAATGATGGCATCTTTGGAGAGGGGCTAGAGAGAGAATTTGGTAGATAGAATAATGCATGGATGAATGTGTAAAGCACATTGCAATAGTACCAAAGTTCTAATTCATTTTCATGCATTAAACAGCATTCCTATTTATCTACATGGGATGAAAAGATCTTTTAACTTACTTGAGCAGTGTTATAAACAATGTACTCATTATACATCAGCTCAGAGTCCTTCACATTGGATGGAACTGGTTTGCCACAAGGTACAATAACATCATCCTTCCACTTTACAAAGTCAGACTTCTTAGGTACTTTCTTTCCAAGCCCCTTTGTAGAGTGCTTTCCTTCTGGCAATTTCTCTATATACTGGATAAGAATGAAGGAAAGCAAAGAGAAATAATTAATAAATGTCAAGTTCTAATCTGGGCATTCTCATTAAGGGTGCACTAACCTTGGCCTTTGTTAGTTCATAGACCTCCCCTAAAGCAACCTCACTGAGAAGCATGAAGCCCACAGGATTTTTCCTATCAGTAAAGCAATACTGAGCACTCTTACTGACCAAATCAGCAAAGTAAACCCCCTTGCCAAACTGGAACGCAAAAGTGTTACAAATGTTAGCCTCACAAAAGAAATGTGTATGTCCTGTATGCAATGATGTACAATCATTTATGAAAAGAAACTGTAAGAGAACCATATAGCCAGTTGCTGGAGCTTCTGGAGGAGCTATTCTTAGTCCCTGGCTCAGTATCCCCACAAAATTAGTCAACCGAGAACCTGCATATGAAAATATCTCATAATCTTGAAAAACTGTAGCATCAGGAAAATTGCCCCAAATTATTTGTAGCAATTAGTGGAGCACTCATCTTCTATACAAATAAAAAAGTAACTTACCATGCCAAAGAAGCATTTTGTTACTAAGTTTTTCTCTGTAAGGAGCAAACTTATCAAGTTCTCCTTCTCTTTCAAGTGAGAATACTTCTTCCAGTTCAAGTGTCCATTCCTGAAGGTAACATATAGTTGCAGTAAGTTTATATTGCAAATTTAACCTACATTAAAGAGAGAGAAAAGGGGGGGGACAATAAACAAGACCATAATCAGTTGTTAAAAATCAGAGCTTTTTAAACATGCATACTCACAGTATGAGTAGGGGCATGAGTGGTAAGGAGATATTTCTCAATCAACTTAAAAGCTTCACTATCGTGAGGAAGGGGAGTGATATCACATTTGAGTTTCTTATATTTTTCATCAAGGGAGTCATCATTGTCGGCATCAAAACCTACTAATCTTGAGGCTATTTCAATGTCTTGAAGAGCTTCCAACATTTTCACCTACATTTCAAGCAGAAAAGGACTGTATATTACTCCTCACACAGATTATATCTAGCTGCAATTAGTTTAAGAAAAATTTTAAAGCAATAATTGAGCAAAGTTGATTCCAACTTCGCCTTCAGCATACAACAGTGCAAAATACATTTGCGTCTTACTCACACCCTGGTACTACATTTTTCAATATTTAACAGAATTCTTTGTAGCTTAGAATAGTATCTAACTATCAAAAAGTGCTGAGAAATGTAGATTATAAAAATTAGTTTAAGAAAAATTTTAAAGCAATAATTGAGCAAAGTTGATTCCAACTTCGCCTTCAGCATACAACAGTGCAAAATACATTTGCGTCTTACTCACACCCTGGTACTACATTTTTCAATATTTAACAGAATTCTTTGTAGCTTAGAATAGTATCTAACTATCAAAAAGTGCTGAGAAAATGTAGATTATAAAAAATGAAAATGACATTCACCAACAGCTTAATGATACAACAGAAGGAGAAAATGTCCAGTTACAAGCTAAAGGCATTGCACAAGCAATTGACAAATATAACGAAGAGCTACAACTAAACACTTATCCTGCACAAGAGTTCAAGATGTCATAAGGTAACAGCATAACACCTTCAGTATTTAATGGGAACAAAAGACGGCAATTAAGTATCACTCCTACAATGAGAAATTGCTTCCGAATTGACCGTGAGAACACCAATGCTCAAATGAAAAAAAATCGGAACTGCTTAAAATAAAATGATACAAGAAGCCAACAAGTAAATTCAACTAGACGTGTGCAAGTAAATGTATCTGACTACTATATACACAATAGAAATCAGTCTCCAAACAATTAAATACAAGCACAAACTAGCCCGAATTGACTGTGAGAACACCAATGCTCAAATGAAACAAAATCAGAACTGCTTAAAATAAAATGATACAAGAAGCCAACAAGTAAATTCAACTAGACGTGTGCAAGTAAATGTATCTGCCTACTATATACACAATAGGAATCAGTCTCCAAACAATTAAATACAAGCACAAACTAGCCCTTGTTACTTTTTTTTTTGGGTTTAACATAATTCTATAAGCTACAATAAATGTTTCAACATAAAAGGAAATATCAAATCAAAAGCATTTGAAAATCAGAAAAAGGTACTATTATGTAGAATATATACCTTTGACTTGAAATCATCTTCATCCCTTATGACATGTGGATGGATAGAAGGAATAACAGTAAAAAATCTATTGCTGGCATCAATAATCAAGCTTTCTTTGACAGAAGGATCAGAAACGTTGTTGTTCAATAGATTTTGTATATCTGTTAATGCCTCAAAACCTGGGCCAAGAAGATATGGTTACTAAAATTTCTACTCTACACATGCTAGAAGTTGAACTCCTACCATGTAACATCTAAGGATGTCCAGCATAATAGAGAAAATAAATAAGACATTACAATTACCTACCTTTCTGAATGTTACTTTTGCTCAGCTTTCCAAGGGGCATTTCAGACATATTTATCTCAAACTCCATCATTGCAGCCCTGTAATCAAGAATGGGTCATTCAGACATCAAAGTAATTTGAGGGAGTACAAGAGAGGGGAGAGTTTTCTCGGAAAATGGACCACTTGCCTGTATGTTTCCACATTAAAAAGCATCTTCACCAATTCAAGTAAAGGAAGAGGAAGTTGACTGTCTGCATCCGTGTGCTTCTTTTGTGACACCTGTTTGTTAACACCATAATCCTACAAATCCCAGCATATAAACTATAAGAAAAAAGGATGCACTATCTAAACAAGAGGCATATACATTTGGAAAGAGATGGAAAAGAAATAAGCAATACAATATCCAATGGGAAAAATCTGCCAGGTTGTTTCTGGAAATTTTCTTTTTGCTCCCATGCCTCCCATGTATTCCCAGTTTTCTCAAGAAATAAACGTTTGAATTCAGAGATTGCATCTGATTTTGACATCTCTTCCAATTTGTTACCGCCGATTTTTTCATTCCCAACGCGACCCCATTTACGGAATACATAACAATCTGATCCTTTATCTTCTTGAATTATTTGGAGAATGTAATAACTTCATATGACAAAAAAAAGCAGTAAGTTAGTATTTATTGAGAAATAAAATAATTAAAAGAGAGCATAAAATAGAATTTTTTTGAAAAAGCAAAGTGGAAAATTGATGTGGAAATAAATTGCTACACAAACAGTAAAAATCTGTTACACCGACTCTATTTTTCTTGACGTTCCCATGTCTGGTAATCATGTGCAACTCTTTCCTAGACAGGTGTACAGGGATGTAATCTCCCGAAAACCCTCCAAATACATGAAAATCTTAAGAAAAATTGAACATACCCTAGTTGGAAGCATAACCATGTTCAATACTCGCATCCAAGTCCAAGTAACATGTTAGAAAAAAATGAGGAAAAGGCAATGTTTTCAAAGGGGATGAGAGCAAGAAAAATGTCCCTCATTATCCTTGGAAGAAAGGAACATACAATCATTAAGTTGAGTCTATCAATAGGCAATAAAGTAAAACATTTGCAAAGCAGGAAAGTAGTAGTCAGCTATAATAGATTAGAAAACCAGCCAAAGAGATGGATGTAGAAAATGCACCTGTTAACACCGGTTGATAAGTCTGACATGTTCAAAGTTGTGTTATATATACTCCCCCCATCCTCAAGTATGTGACCTGAATCTTGTAGACCAGAAGCTTCATGCACAGCACTTCGTCCTTTTACTTTGACAGTGACCATGCTAGAGGCCTCACCAATGGCTTCAACTTTGTACAAATCAAAAGGAAGCTTCTTCTGTCTTTTAAAACAGTCAACAAGATAATCCTCCCTAACAATTGGCAATCTCATCCTCCTGAAAAGTGAAACACATGAAATTAGTCTAAAATGAATGAAGAACTTGAGAAGAAATATGAAAGGAGCTTTACCGTGCCTTCCTCATCTCAGCAGCATGACTCTCAAATTCCCCACTCACAACAAAGCAATTGGTATCTGTAACATTATTTCTTTAGTACATCCCAATCAACACAAGCTTTTATATCAAAATAGAGTACAGGAGGCACATACCATTCTTGATCTTGGCATGAACTATACCACCTGCTTCCTTGATTTTGCCCTTCCACTCTTCCTGAAAAGAAAATACTCAAGAAATGAACAAACATTCACGTTTATTCTGAAAAACAGTGGAAGAGATATTACCATGGACTCTTGCGGCAATCCAACCATGGAAACTTTCAAATCTGCCAAGCTTTCAACCTTTGACGTTTGAGATTGGCCATTAGGAGCTTGACTTGAAGAAGAAGATGGTAGAGGCAGGATGCGAACAGGTTTTTTTATTTTTTGTGATTTAAACCACTGCAGGAGTTTGCGTCAGGAAAAGGTTACAGTCTAAATAATTTAGTATATCACATGGATCTTAGTCGAATACCTTGCTTAGAAATTCATTATTTGTTTCATCTGGGACTTTCCATTTCCCTTTAAGACGTTCAGGTTCACAAGTAGAGTAAGAACACTTGCTCCATGCTGAAATGTAGCCATGGCAGCGAAACTTGCCTCCAGAAAAGCGAAGACAGCCAGAACACATGGGACATTTACCAAGTGCTCCAAACATCATCCCATCAGCACTGCATAAAATTATACCAAGAGAATCCTTTTCAATTTTAAGTGCAGTGTATTAGAAGTTTATGTTCATCATGGCATGGAATAAATTCTTAAGCAATTCATCACAAAAACTACATCTAGATACACAAAAGAAGAAACCATAGGTTCAATTATAAAGTGTTTGATATAGGTAGACCAAGTTGCATCATCAAGCAAGATATGTCCAAAATCATCCATTACAGTTCTAAACTAAAAAGAAAAAAGTCATGAAAGTGCTCAACTAGCTGATTTATATGAAAGGAAAACACAACCTAAAAACCATTGGAAAAATCTTACCAGTGGTCACGCAAATCAAGTTCTGATCCTGTTGCATCTTGACCATTGACTTCAAGCATTTCACGCAGTTCTGCTGTAGTAACATGTTTCTTCAACTCGTCCTTCAAAGCCCACAGTTCTTTAGTCTGGGCCTCCAATTTAGTTTCCAGATAAGAATCTTTTGGCTTTTTGTCCAAGTCATTCGCATTCTTCCCTGCCCTACCTGTCGTCACTCCTCCTTCCAACTTGCTGACTTTGGATTTTTTATCATCACCAACATCCTTCTTACGTTTTGCACCAGCTGTGGAGGTTGATTGTGGTTGTTTTTCCTCTGGTACCTCAGTCCCTTTGCCTGGAACAGCAGTAATGATTAAAAGAGAAAACACGTGAAGTAATAATTTAAGTTCCCTTCGTCATCTGAGAAAGCCTAGGATAGTAAATTCCGTACCCTTCTTTGAAGCAGGAACCTTCTTAACCAGTGCAGAAACAGTTGCCTGGTCAGACGATGGAAGGCTTTCCCATCCAGGCAACTTTTCCACTGTAGTAGTAGGAGACAACTCTAAGAAACACTTGGCATGGTTCCACACCAATCCTTTAGATCCTTGACCCTCAGGCTTTGAAGATATACGGACCTAACAGTATTAGAAAAATCAAAGAACAAAAGAGTATTAGACCTCATTTCTACACAACTAGAATCATAAATGTCGTCTTAAAACTAAATGTACTTAAAACTTAAGCAGCAACATCAAAAAGCAGTAAACAGGAACCATAAATGAATCTCGAAATTTACCTCATGCTTCTACTATGTTCTTTTATATATCAATATTTTATTTAAGACAAATTAGAAACAAGAAAGGAAAACAGCATTCTTATTTTACGAATAATTTTATAAAAAAAATAGTTTATCTTCTGCAAGAAAACAATGAATAGCACAAGGGATACTTCTTTGGAAGACAAATCAAATATTGAGATGCTATAACAACGAAAATGACACATTTGATTTGGTTTGAAGGAACCACAGAGAAACCAAAATTTTGAGAGAAGAAAAGGGTACAAGACACATTAGTTTCAAAGCTGAGGGAAAAAAGGGAAAAAAAGTGAACACGACCTAACTAAATCTTCACCTTGAAAATAGGAGAAAACAAATAGAATAATTGCATGATAACATATGTCCCTCATCCAGCTCGCACATGAAGCAAGTTTCCATATGTTAAGGCAAGAACCAAAAGAAGATTCTTTACTGGGACCTTGAATCATTACTTAATCCATAGATCCATTTTACTTAACATCGAAGTTAGTAACAAGTCAAACCAATATATGAAAAGCATAAATAGAACAAATCATTAAACATAACAATCCACCTCTCCTTTCATAATCTTTTGGGAGCAACCCTTGCAAGTAGCACGAGAAGTTTGTGAAACTTCAATAGCATATTCCATGGCTTGAGGAGTGACATTTTTTGCATTTGAAGGTCCTCCGGATTCCACGTAGTTCCTGATTTTTTGTTGGTCCTCCCATCGAAGCGATTCTATGCCTTCAACATCATCAGTACTACACAATTAAAGAAAAAAGTTAACATCTGCATTCAATACAGATAATCTTTCAGAAATCACATCAGACAATTAGTAAAGTACGTACGACTTTATCTGATTTGCTTTCCTTAGTATACAATCTGCATGGTTCCACATCTAATTCAGGAAACAGACAAATATAATTAAAAAAGTTAGAAGATTTAAGCATCCACAATAATGTAATGAGTAAAATTGAAGAAAAAGGTAAGAAATGACGACAGAAAAAAGCAGACTTTGAGATTTAGAAGAACACAACAGTGAATGTCAATAGCAAAAGCCTCAAAGAAAATTATTGAAATAGGGAAAACAACACATCAAGCAAGAAATTAAGCAATACCGCACAAAATCCAAATGAAAACAACAGCTGCATGCACTTAAAATTTTCCAGAATTCAGAAAAACAAAATAAAAAGACCCAGAAAAGGAAAATAAAAAAAGAGTGAATAAAATGTACGGGCATGAAGCCGTCGAACTGGGTGGCAGTGACCATTTTGCCTAGCCTGAAGGCCTCCTTGCTGATAACGCTTTTGCAAGTTTTGCAGGAAGATCGAGCCGACTTGGCATATTCCGCTTTCCACGGCTTTGGTGGGTTCGCCATTTTGGTCTCTCTTCTCTTCTCTTCCGTCTAGATAGTTTTCAGAGTGGGGTTTGTAAAGTATGTATATAGGAGTGGGATAAGAGAAGAAATTGGAAGTGAATCTTTGGGAAATACTGAGTGAGAGAATCTGTTTGCTTGGCTTCTCTAATACGCATTCTTTCTCAAATGAGTAAAAACTTAAAAAATGGAAAAAGATCCCATTTTTATTTAGTTAACCTGAGCTTCTCTTCCTTTTTCATGGGCTTTTCTCTCTTCCAATCTTAACAACAGTTTCCTAGGATCCATTATAGGTTCTTAGTTACTAACCCAATCCATTACCCCCTTTTGTCGATCAATTAATTGAAATATAAGAATTCGAACGTACACAAAATAAGATAATATAAATACTTTTAACCATTCAATGAATTAATAGATTTTAGATATCAATCAATATTTTGTTTCATCTAAAGTGTTAGGTGGTATTTGTTTTTTTCAGTGATAAAAGGTCTACAGTCTGCGGATCAATCTGCAGACATCTGCAGCAGAAGAGGTAGATTAAAAGTCTGCAGTCTGTAAAAAGAAGACTGTTTGTTTTTTAAAGTCTGCAAACTGCTAAAAAAAACTGAAATATAAATAAACTAATTTTTTTAAACTTAAAAGAGTTTTGCAATACTGAAATTTAACTAATTTTAGTTTTATAATAATGAAATTTAAATAATCCATACAACTACAATAATAAATTTTTTAAAATAAACCAATCCATATTTTAAAATAAATCAATCCATATTTTAAAATAAATCAATCAATATTTTAAAATAATCAATCCATATTTTAAAATAAATAAAATTTTCCATATTTTAAAATAAATTAATCCATATTTTAAAATAAATTTTTCCATATTTTAAAATAAATCAATCCATATTTTAAAATAAATCAATCCATATTTAAAAAAATCAATCCATATTTTAAAATAAATCAATCTATATTTTAAATTAAATTTTAAAATAGATTTAAATAATTTTAATTTCTTTGAATAGGTTTGAAGACCTTTGAAGACATAAAACCATGTCTGCACCAAGAAGACCTCGCGCAGACGTTAGAAGACTTCTGTCTTCTAAAAAACAAACGGTCTGTGAAACCCAATGTCTGCGCGTGGTCTACGTGGCACAGACATAAGAGCTTTGCAGACCTTACACAGTAAAAACAAACATCACCTTAATGTACATAGACCTAATTGACATAGAAAATAATCTTAACATTTCAACAGGGACACACCTTGGAACTAGTGTTGAGGGTCGAGATAAAATTATAACGTTTTAGAGGGATTCAAGATAATCTATTCAACGTTTTAGAGTAAAAATATGCCATATTGAAATATATGGTTTGGGTTTCTATCTTCACCCTTGAAGATCACTTTGTTTTTTCTCTTCTTAAAAAGTTTTTTACTCTTATAAAAATATAAAAATAATGGAGAAAATGGAGGCTATCTGGGCGCACGTTAGCAGGCCTAATGCTCTCTCAGACTTTCTTCTAATCCTTGTTCGTTTCTCATTTTCTGGGGATTTTATGTTTCTGTTGCTGTTATGGAATCGAGTTCTGTGAGTCTCGATTGGAAGGATCTGTTCATGGGTTCGAAAGATCAAAATCTTGATTTCTTTCCCCCTGAGCTAAAGGATGGTGTGGCTACCATTAAGCCTCCGCCTGAGGTGATTGAAGAAGTTATTGCGGACTGGAATCATGCTCTGGTAGGTCAATTTTGTGAATCGGCTCCCAGTTTTGGATCTCTGCAGCGTATAATTGAAACGATTTGGGGGAATTTTTCTCATGTTAAGGTTTGTATCGTCGACCCTAATCTCTTTATTTTTTTATTCTTAGATGTTGGTTTAAGGGATTAGGTCCTGGATAATAGACCTTGGCATATTCAGAATAAACCATTGTTCTTGAGGAGCTGGTCACCTGGTATGCAAAAGCTTAGTTTTGATCTCACCTTTGTCCCGATTTGGGTTCAACTATACAATATTCCATTAGAACTCTATTCCAGAAGGGACTTATTTATCTTGCTAGTGCTTTAGGTAACCCATTGTATATGGACACTATTACAGCTTCAAGAGAGAGACTCGAATATGCTAAGGTGTGTGTGGAAATTCAAGCTGGTGTCACTATCCCAGAATCCATTCAAGTTAAAGTTATCTTAAATGATGGCTCCTCTGTGAACGTTCGAGTTCATGTTCCTTGGTTGCCCAAATTTTGTGCTAAATGTAAAACATTTGGGCACCATGTCAATTCGTGTATTGATGTTAGGCAGCCCTTTCAGAAATCAAAAGAGGTGCAAGTTTGGAGGAAGAAGGATATTAAGGGCACAATGACTGTTAGTAAGGGTAGCTTGCATGTTACTGTTATTAATGATACAGAGTCAACAGGGACTGCTAATGCACCAATTGAGATTTCTCAAAGCTCAGTTTTGCATCCTGATTCTATCTGCAACCCTAAGGGATTACTTGTGGGAAATGTTGTGGAGACAACAGTGCATGCCTTACAAGAGAACAGTATGCCTAATATGATGGGTGTTAGTAAGGATATTGTTTGTCTTCCACGACCTGCTACTGAGACACAGAAGTTACCAGATGATTTTGTGTCACTGAAGCTGCCAGATTCTGTACCTACTGTACATGAGAATGTACATATTGATGGTGTCCTTCACTCATAGGATACTGACCAATCTAGTGATTTTCCATCTTTACAGGATTCCTTAAAGAAAAAGCAAAAAAGTAAGAAAAAAGAGGTTATTGGTTCTTCAAGTAAAGTTGAATTTGTAGTGAAGGGTACCAGGAAAGCCCGTGTGGCTTCTTTGGGGGTTGTTGTGCTACTCAATGAGATAAAAACAAAGAAGAAAGATCACCTTGAGAAAGCCAGAAGTTATGTGGTGAATTCGAGCGCAGGGATTAGTGCTCAGGTTGCATCCTCTTGATGATAGTCAACTTCTGGAATGTTAGGGGGATTAATAACCCCCTTAAACAGCTGAAGGTATTAAAGAGGTTATTTTGTTGTGAGGTTGATATATTCTATTTGATGGAATCTCGCATTATTAGTGCGAATTCTGCTAGCTTTACTTTTGCTTTGTCTGAAGATTGGTATTTTGCTGGTAATTATGATTTTATTGAAGGAGGTAGAGTGTGGGTCTGTTGGAGGAAGCACCTCTCTTTCTCAGTTTTGAGATATTGTAATTAGGCCATATCCATCTCTGGGTCTGTTGATGGGGATGCGACTACTATTACTGTTGTTTATGGCAGTAACAATGGTGTTGCTAGGAGAAGACTTTGGGAACACTTGGGTTTTGTTGAGAATGATATTGGCCCCTCCTCTTGGATGGTTAGGGGGACTTTAACATCTTTGCCAAGGCTGAGGAGAGTTCTGATTTTGACATCATGGGGATTCACTGTACTCCTGATATGAAGGATTTTCAAGACTGTTTAGAAGACCTTGAGCTCATGGACCACCATTTCCTTGGAACTTTATTCACTTGGTCTAATAAGCAAGAAGGATCATTCCTGGCTCGAAAGTTGGACAGAATCCTTGTTAATAATCAATGGCTGGTGGATTTTCCCGACTCGTATGCTGAATTTAAGGCCCAGGGGGTATCTGACCATTGTCTTGGAATGTTGTGGACTCACAAGGGCATTATGGCTAAGAAGCCTCGACCATTCAAGTTTTTTAATATTTGGTATGGTCATGAAAAATTCCTTGATGTTGTTAGGGACTCTTGGCAGCGCCAATGTGGTGGGGATGCTATGTGCTACTTGTTCAACAAGTTGAAAAGGCTTAAGCATGTACTTAAGCAATTTAATTTGGAATTTTTTGTTGATATCTCTGGTAGAGTCAAAACCAAGAGGGCAGAATTGGAGCAGATTCAGATTTTTAATCTTGCTCAATTTAATCAGAGGAGGATTGAAGAAGAAATGATGGTTCATGCTAATTTAGTTGACTTGGAAGTTGCTGAAGCTGTTTTCTATAAGCAAAAGGCCAAGGTCCATTGGCTAAGGGAGGGTGATTTGAATACAAAGTTTTTTCATCAAAAGGTTTTCTCCAACAAGAAAAAGAATTCTATTAGAATCATTAAGAGTGAGGATGGATAGTGCCATGATTCTTTTGAAGGAATGTCCTCTGAGCTAGTGGGCTATTTCACTAACCTTATTGGCTCCCCTGATCCTCTTATTAAAGGGTGTTCAGCTGTAGTTTTGAAGGACCTGCTGAACTATTCCTTGCCAGATGGTGTAGACACCTTACTTACAAAAGAAGTGTCTGATTTGGAGATTAAAGAAGCTCTTTTTAAGCAAAGTGTGGATAAAAGCCTAGGCCCTGATGGTTTTACTTCTGGCTTCTTTAAATCTGCTTGGAGCATTATTGGTAGTGATTTCACTGCTGCTGTAAGGTATTTCTTCCACTCCTCCTGCTTGTTGTCTGCTTTTAATGTAACTATCTTAGTTCTGGTCCCAAAGTCCCTAAATGCTTGTATAGCAAAAGAGTTTAGGCTTATTTCTTGTTGTCCAGTTATCTACAAAACCATCACTAGAATCCTGGTTAATAGGCTTACACATTTCTTCCCTGACATGATCTCCTACAACCAGTCTGCCTTTGTTAAGGGTAGGAGTATTGTAGATAACACCCTTTTAGCCCAGGAGATAGTAAAAGGTTACTCTATGAAAGGACTTTCTCCTAGATGTGTTGTTAAAATCGATCTACAGAAGGCTTTTGACTCCATTAATTGGGATTTTTTGCTGACTGTTTTCAAGGCTATGGGATTTCCTGAGGTCTTCTGTCACTGGATCAGGGTTGTATTACTACACCAATGTATTCTGTGTGCTTGAATGGTTCTTTGGTGGGGTATTTCAAGGGGGCAAGAGGGAATTACACAAGGCGATCCCTTGTCTCCTTATCTTTTTGTCATGGTGATGAATGTTCTTTCTGCTATGCTGAACAGAGCAGCTAAGCATTGAATTTTTAAATTACATCCTAAATGTAGACGAATCCCCTTAACCCACCTTTGTTTTGCTGATGATCTCCTCGTTTTCTATCATGGCTCTCTCGATTCTGTTCTTGGTGTCCAATGTACTCTTGAGGGTTTTACAATCTGTTAGGTCTCAAGCTTAATGCTCTGAAGACTGAACTTTTTTCCTGTGGTTTAAGTGG